AAGAATAATTTTTATTATCGATTTGTATGTTTTTTGTTCAATGATTTGTTATCTAGAAGAAAAAGATAAATTTATTTGGTTTCATCATACATGGAAACATGAAAAATTAACAAATGTTTATGATAAAATTTCATTATTTAGTTCAACAAAAATGAACATAGATTTTGCACAAGTAAATTATTTTTCATTTATTTTACAGAAATTCTTTGTAAACTTTCTCGTAGATTGAAATATACTTCTTATGTTTTAAAGATGAAAGACTCTAAATTCAAAATTCTTCAGTTTGCAACATTGATTTGAAGACTACAGAATAAAGAAAAATTTCTTTAATATATATCCTAGATTGAGAAAACAACATAATTAGCCAATGCGGAAGGTGTTTTAACAATATTATCGTGACAGTCGTATGCAAGCTTTTCTTTTCAATTGTTGTGATGCCACAGCCAAAGGTTTTCAGCCGGGATGGACAGCTTCGATATAGATGTGCGTAATTAGCTCAAATTTTTTGAGTAGAAACAGGAGCCAATTATTAAGAATCTTCTGGAATCGAATATATATATTTAGAAAGTCTATATTAATTTTTCAAGTTGATCAATCGAGAACATTCAGTACTGACGAGGGCATCATCCAAACTGATACCTGCCATTTTGAGCTTATATTGTGCTTAGAGGGACGTCTTGGTAAAACTAGTAAAACTCTAAAAGAGCTTCGTCCTCATGGATCTTTGAAGTCAAGTTGCGATCGTTTTCTTCAATTTTCAATCCAGTTTTACGTACATACCAAAAAATCAAAAAGCTGAATTTCGACGTAAAATTTTGTCCATAGATATAGATCTAATAATCCATGGAATGCCCTGAAAGTTTCAGCTGAAAAAAGTCTTTTTTTTGTTGAAATATTGAATTTTTCAGTGAGCTCGATCATTTTTTGGAAATTCGATATCTTAACAAAAGAACATTGTTTTCGGTTGAAACTTTCAGGACGTTCTACAGATCATTCGGCGTATCTATGGACCAAATTTTACATAGAAATTCTGTTATTTCATTTTTCGATATATATCCAAAAATAGGTCTAAAACTTAGTAAAACGATCTTAACTCGGTCCCAAATGCCAATTGAGATGAATCTTTTTAGATTTTGTCTAATCTAATCGAGATTTCCTTTTGGGTTCAATATGATCTGCAAACGATGGGTGTCAGTTCGGTAGATTCTCTCGTCAGCGGCCAATAATATCAATCTTTCTGTTATACACTTTTGCTTAAATCTTATCTATGAAATAAGAACTATCGAAATAATAATCAAAAAGAAGCAAATTTTATGATTACTAAATGATGTTGTTCATTTTACATTATTTATTTAAAGAATTATCATTTAACAAGTTTGTTCTTTAAGAAAAAAATCTATCGTTATAAGATCATACGAAATCTGTTATTCTTTTCACATTAACACGCTATTAAAAAAGTCAAGTATAAAATCTTCATAATGAATCTGTCAATAATATTTTTCAGAAACACAACTTATCGTTAGATCCGAACTATGCCGTAGCACCTCATCATACAGGTATCTATCCAATCAATCCTTTAGTTTATGATATTTGGCATCGTATTATCAATTTCAATGTAACAAGTACAGAAAATTATCCATATCATTATATGTCTCCATCAAATCGTCGTGGTTTTATATATAAAGGACTTTTTGTAAACTTTCTTTTTTTTTTGTTGTTTAGTTTAAATAGGTTTTATTGTATTTTACTTAAAGGTATTACCACGACAATCATGTAGTTTATATACAACAACACGAAATTATACGAATTATCCAAATGGTAGTCATCGTTTAGAACAACATTTAATGGGTGGAAAATTATTTCGAATAATTTTAACAAATCCAGTAATTAACTTTGACTATTAGATATTGTCTTCAAATAAATTTTGTTTTTATAGATTTCAATATTTATGTCACACAATGTTAATTATGGTCATGATCGTTTAGGAAATTATGTTTTTTCTAAACTTATTTATTTAATATCAAAATGGACAAGAATTAAATTTTCTAGTGATTTATCAACATCTGAATTAGCTCGAAAATATTTTTATGATTATTATCCAGATGAAAAAATGCCAATATTTACAGTAAATATAAATATATAGATACACAAAAAAAAAAAAAACTGGATAATTATAATTCATTCATTAGAATCCATGTCATGATGAAATGTTGATGAATCTTTGGAATGGAAATCGTTCAATGTGTCGAATATTTCCACAATTTTTAATTGTTGGTCCACAAAAAACAGGTTTCAAAAAAAATAAAAAAAAAAGATAATTATTTAATGTTCAAACAAAAGAAAAATTTTATTTTAGGTACTACCGCTTTATATAGTATGCTTTCTCAACATCCAGATTTACATCCATCAAAAAAAAATTTCATAACTTATGAAGAATTACAATTTTTTAGTAATAATACAATCTATTTAAATGGTATTAATTGGTTAGTAAAAAGAAAGACAAGGATAGTTCTTCTTATTAGATTTTTAAATTTATTTTAGGTATTTAGATCAATTTGATTCGGACAACATTGTTTCTGAATGGTCGATGAATTTTGAAAAATCAGCAACTTATTTTGATTCTATATTGGCTATGAAACGTATAAAAGCATTGTTACCAAATATTCGTTTGATAATGATACTTACGGAACCTGGTGCTCGTGCTTACTCCCGATATCAAGTGAGATATTTATGATAGAAAACCTTTATCAAATATTTCTTCTCATTGAATTCTAATTTGAAAAATTTGTTCAATATATTTTATTTTAGCATGAAATTGCTCGAACTAATCAAACAATTAATTTTGATGATTTATTACAATTAAATCATAATCATAGTTCAAATCAATTTCATTTAAAAGAACGTTGTCTTCAACCTGGTCATTATGCTGAATATCTTCGTCAATGGTTAAATTATTTTCCATCGAAACAAGTCATTAAAAAACTTCATCATTATTTTTCTTTTTATATAAATTCTATTTTTTTTTGTTTTATATAGATTTATATCATTGATGGTGATGCATTTCGTTATGATCCTCGTACAATTCTTAATGATATTCAAATAAGATTTCTTCAATTAAAAAATCCTATTAATTCATCAAAACTAGTCAAGTAAATTTTCTTTTTCTATTATAATAAAAAAAAAGAAAGTAACACCTTTCATTGTTTTTTTTTAAATAGATTTAATAGAAAAAAAGATTTTTTTTGTCCAATATCAAATAAAAATCATTTTCAATGTCTTGGAAATAGTAAAGGACGTCATTATGAAAAAATGTCGTCCTATTCACGTGAATATTTAAATAATTATTATTTATTACATAATCAAAAATTAATACAATTTCTTAGAAATAATAATTATTCATTACCATTATGGTTGTCAGATAAATAAAATAGTTGTTCAGTTTTTTGTTTCATTCTAGATGAATATCTTTTTAAAAAATTCTTCTAGAATCTTTTTTAATCGAACACAATTAATAAAAAGATTTTTTTCTTTATCAAATATTTATCATGCTGCTGAAGGTCGAATGGGTTATCCTAATGAAAGATATGAACCAACAACAATATCAGCGTTAGATAAAGAAAATAAAACTTTACCATTAATAACTGGTTTATATGAAGATGGTTTTATGATTGCTGAACAAGATAGAATTGTTGGAGCAATTTTTTCATTTCCTAGACAAATTATTTGTTGGAATGTAAGATATTTTTATTATATTTGTTTACTTATCCTAAATTCATAACAGCTGTTAGCACAACTGTGAATTATGGGTATTGTCAAAGCAGAAATTAATCAGTATATGTTTCAGTTGATGAATTTCTATCTACTGTTAACGCATGTCGATGATGAAAGATATTAATCGTAATATATTGCAGTGAGTGTGAAAGAAAAGTAAAGGACGACTATCATACTAATCTCGTAGGGGACACTTGCAGTCTCTGATGATGGACATGTGTTGCTAAGGTGTCTACCACATTCTATGATGATCTCTAATTGATGTCTGTTATGTCTGTGACAACTGGTTGCTAAGATGTCTGTTATGTCTTTGATAAACTGTTTCTAACGTATCAAGGAGAAGATGAATCCAAGTTTCTACTCGTGTACTTCAACATTTCTATTAGATTGTGTTTCACAAGTGTGGATATGAAATATATTTGATTTTGAATTTTTCATTTAATGTTTACATTGAAATTGTGATTGATCGCAAATGAGGTTTCTTTTTTTCAACTGTTTGACAAATATTCTTCTAAAAAATTAAATATATTTGTTGGTAATATTTAAGAATGACAAATCTAAAATAATTTTTCGAGGTCAATTCGATATTTTTTCTCTCCGTTTCGAGATCTTTGACCTATTAGTATGATCAATTATTGACGGTTCTTCTTGTTAATGTTCTTTACTTTATCTATTTATTGCATTTATTATGAAAGCAAAAATACCCAACTGACGAACATTAATCTTATTTACTCTAGAATATCAAAATTTGTACCTCGAAGAGATAATCTAATTCCATCAATATAGTAAAATATTGTGTCAATTCACAAAAAACTCTATTCTTATGTAGAAATAATATAACCTCAATATTATCCATTACTACATTGTGTGATGATGTGATATTTGTAAAAAACAAATAAATTGTGTCATTCATTTGGCTCAGTGTGGTTTATATATGTTTGTTTATTTATTATAGGTTTATTCACCAGATCAAATAACACCTGAATCTTTAGCTTTATTAGAAGTAATTCTACCTCGTCCAGGTTAATATATTTTTTTTCATTCTTGTTTTGAAAATATATAATAAAATATTTTGCTAAAATAGAAATTTTTATTTTGGGTATTGGTTCACGTACAAATAAAATTCCTCCTGAAACTATTCAATTTATACGTTCATTAAAAATTGGTTTTGAAATATTACCAACAGTAAGAATAAATGATCTTGTTTTTTTTCGTAGCTTATTATATAATATTTATTTATTATTTTAAATATAGACACAAGCATGTGAAACATTTAATTTTCTATTATCTGATAATCGTCTTGTTTATGCTGGATTTTTTCCTCAAAATGATCTTACTGATCAAAATTATGGTTTAAGAAAAGCTATTGCACATAGTCAATTATATGAAAAAGATGAAGAATATATTAGAAAAGATTTATTAAAAGATACATATGAAGTGATGATAAAAGCTCATCGAGAACGAAAACTATTAAGTTCATATTCACCACTTGATAGACGACAGTCTTCTATTAAACAAGATGATGATACTAATGTACAATCATTAACTGGTACAAGTAATATGGAAAAAAGACCTTCAGTTAAAAAACGAGATCAACAAGAAACAGATAATCAAAGCTAATTACTGGTTTTTTTTTTATCATAAAGATTTGAATAAACTAGCACAAGTAAATGACTTTTTATTTCATTTCCAAATTCAACGATTGACAATATGTGGTAGTGATATGAGCACTACTCCAAGTGACATCCATTGTTTGAACTCATATTGCATCTGCAGGCAAGTCTCAATGAGAGTAACAAAAGCCTACAATGGTTCGTGTTCATCGATCTTTGGCATCGAGTTATCATCGGTAGACTAGATAACGAATTTTGTTTCGTCGAATTTTTGGATTTTCAAGTGAACTTGATTTTTTGTAATATGTCTGTGGCAAAGGACTATTTTTGGAAATTCAATATTTTAACGAAAGAATATTCTTTTCGATTGAAACCTTCAAGATATTCTAAAAGTCATTAGACTCATCTATGAGAAAAATTTTTGAATCAAAACTCTGTTAATCAATCTTCCGATAAGTATCTAAAGTTGGATCAGAAATCCAGTAAACCAATCGTAAGTCTGCAACAAATACCCATGGAGATAAACTCTGTTAGGCTTCTTTAGTCTCATTGAGACCTCCCCATGTATCTAATATGAGCTGAAAGGCGATGTCATTTGGACCAGTTCTATCGTAAGGAAATATACTTGAAAATAAGTCATTAGAATATGAGATGATGACAGATTTCAGTAGGATAATCAATAATCAAGTATGATTGATTAATTGAGGAAAACGATAACGATCGGAACTTGATTTCATGGCAAACAAATAGAGAAGATTCTTTAGGAATCATTTACTGGTAAGTAAGATATTTTTATACATCTGAACTTGGTACTATCATTCTTATATTATTATCCAATTTTTGCTTCATGCAACAAAGTCTTAACTGTTATTGAATCTAATATTAAATCTATTGAAAACAATTCAAATAATTCTGAATCATCTTCGATCGTGTAAGTATTCGCTACTAGTTATCTATTATAAAAATAATTTTGATATTATACATTTGACTTTTTTTTCATAAAAATGAAGTGTATAATATTTATGCCAAGATCTATAATCTATATAGTACTGTTCAAAAATATAAGAAGAGACAATTTTTTAGAATTTTCATTTCATATGTCTTTACCTTTTTCCTATTGATAATAGTTTATGCGTATACACATATCCATGCAGTTGTACTCTATCTGAAACTGAAGTAAGATTTCCTCATTTCGTATATCAAACTCGAACAAAGGTATTTTTATAAAAATTTCGTATTTTTTGGGTATGACTGACAAATGCTAGTTTAGCTCAGAGTTTTCGCTATTAAAACTAAAATAGAGATGGCCCCGCTTTTTCCATAGTTTCACATGATAGAAAGCACTTGTTGCTACAGGAACGAAAGATTTTTGAAGTCTAAGAATCATTCTGTTAGAAAGAGATCCCAATTTTAATAACAAAGAATAGTTTTGATGTCAACTTTGGCTTAGAATTGCCGATTTCTAAGATTTTAAATTTAAAAATGGCGTTCTTAGACTTCGAAAACCTTTCATTCTGTGGCACAAAGTGCCTTCTATCGTATGAAACTGTAGAAAAAGTAACCCCATCTCTGTTTTAGTTTTAATAGCGAAAATTCTGAGCTAGACTAGCATTTTTCAGTCATACCCAAAAATGCAAATTTTTTATAAAAATGCCTTTGCTCAAGTTTGATATATAAAATGAGGAAATCTTACTTCAGTTTCAGATAGAGCACAACTAAATGCATATGTGTATACATATAAACTATTATCAATAGGAAAAAGGTAAAAACATATAACATGAAAACTCTAAAAAGGTTGTCTCTTCGTATATTTTTAAGCAGTATTGTACTCATCCATTCAATTAACATATTAAAGGCGTTGAATTATGAATGTCATTTCAAAAAATGATTGATCTCAACAATGTTCAATGACAAATATCTATCACTGAGAAAATTAGTTCTAATGTCCTTCATTGATATTGAAAGAAGGTCAAATAATAAAGATATATAGACCAGTGAATAATTTGATGTCTATTTTATGTAAGATATCAACACAATCCATGCAGAATAATACTTTTGATAAGTTTAATAAGTCGTATCTTTTGTACATTTGTTTTATACTTTGTGTAGCCCCTACTGTTTGGTACGATTTATAAACAAAAAACGATCAGAAGTCTGTCAATCAAATGGTTTTTTTGCTAACGCTATAGTCAACATATTATAACTATTATGCCTATTTATAGTTCTAATAATATCAATTTAATAAGAACAAAAAGCAAAAAAAAAATTCTTGCTTAATTTCACACGACTGAAATTTATGCAAATATATTCGACTTGTCTCTTCATTAACATTCAAGTTAAATAGATTGTTGATATCGTTGATGCAATAAAAAGATGATAGAAGAAAATTTGGTACATAATAATTAGTATTTTGTTTTACATAATAATCGTTGATATCTTTTCATTCTTCCATAAGACAAGACAAATCAATAGGATTAATTATATCTTTACCTTCACTTATGACTCAACAATATCTGTTTTTTTTCTACTAGTTTAACATCTTGTCCATGTAAATACATTAAAAATCAATCATTTTTTTGTTATTGAGATAATCATGTGTTTTTTTTTTGGTGTTCTAGAAAAAACAACTTCTAGCTTAATATTTTTCTTTTTCATATGCCTAAACTAATGCCTTATTGATCTGCTTTTATGTATTGTCAGTAATATCTATCGCTAGATGATGGATAGATTGACTAGTTAAACAACTACTACAGACATAAATGGATCATTGGAAAACATGAATGACGCCTGCATTATATACAATTTGCGTAACCAAAAAAATAAAACATAAATCATAGATAAACATATTTTCATCCTTTTTTCCTTACGAGTTTTCAATAGATTCAAATAAATAAATCGTCATTTTTATCTTGCATCATATAGAATACATAGGACTACATGCATAATGATTAGAACCGTAATTTGTCATATACAATTATCAATACTGAAGAAAAAAAATGAGTTGTACCTTTCATTCGTACTATACATATATATATATATATATATATGCGAATATAGTTAATCACACGCCTATTAGACGAAAATAGGTGATTGATCAAGTTTGTTGGATTTACAACAGAATATGAGACCATTGACTACAATTATCTCATCGAACAAGAAAAAAAACCAAAGAAAAATGGTCAACCAGGCGAAAGAGACATTCGTCTATATATGTATGTATGTATATATATATATAAATATAGATGCAATACTTCTTTAGTATTAAAAAATAGACAAGAATGATTAGTTATAAAAATGAATAAGAAATAAAGACTTGACAACAATAGCTTTAAAGAGAAAGTGTCTTTTTAATTTCATCTGTTACATCAGTACTCTGTTGTTTGATAACCAGTAAGAACTCGAATATAACAGAAGAAAATAAGATCAATGAATTGATTCTCATCGAGCAATAATAAACAGTTATGCATTTACATTAGGAGGTCTGTCCTACTTTCTTTTTTACTTATTTTTTGTAGATTCTTACATTACAGAAACATAAAAAGAAATAATCATCATAGAAAAGAAAAGAAAATGAATATCCCGAATGTTTTCCTGAACATCATTGAAGAGTCTAATCATTAGATTGAATAATATACATATAGAAAGAAAAGAGACGTATAGCGAATGAAAGAAAGAAAGAAAGAGAGAAAGACATAGTCTTTTTCTTCTTTCGTTCGTATTTTTTTCTTTTTCTTCATACATGTATATCATTGATCGAACCAGGTGAGCATCATCTGCATGTCATTGATCCCGTCCTATCATATATATATACATACATTATATATACATATATATTTACATATACATATAAAAAATTGTAATTCTTTTTGTATAGATAACATATTCGACGTTTATCAAAATTGACTATCTTCGGGTTTCTTTTTCTTTTCGTTTCCTTGTCGTGTTTCAATGGTTATCAAATCAAAAATGAATCAAGATACGATGCAATCAATATAGCAATGACATTTTTTTGTGAATAAATCTAACGAATGAAACAGGTGCTAGGTCGATCATGGATTATTCAAACGTCATTTATTTTCTTATTATATTTATTCATATAACGATTACATTAGAATATAATGATGATTATGATGTTGAACAACAACTTGCCTCTCAATCTTGTAAGTATCACACTATAGTAGTTTATGTTGGATTGTCTAATCATTCCTTCTTTGTTTTCTTATCAAAACTGTCATATGAGGTGTTTTCAGTAATCAATAAAACTTTCGACACTTCTTGCAATCATCATCGATAAATATTTCTGATAGGGATGCTGTTTCTATATAAATTGCATCATCTTCTCTTCACATTTCATCATTATTAGAGAAAAAAGATTAATTCGGTTGATTGAACAGTATTATCTTCGCATATATATATATATATGAGACAAATCTGATGCTTATTCGTGATTAGCCTCGTTTATCTTTTCTCTGTTAGTCTTTCATTGTTTACATATATTGATGTGCTGGAATAATTTCAAAATTTTTATAATATTAAGCATCCGATTTCAATCATAATCTATTTTCTCTATGTCAAGAATATTGACATTCTTTAACCATACAAGGTTAATCTGAGGATTACTTTTTATTTTTGCCGTTGTTCTTATTTCTTATTTAATAGTGTTTAAACGAAGTGCCAGTAATATGTCTTCGACATCAATGTATGTATACACAAAAAAAGAAGAAAAAAAAAACGGCCATGATTTGTCCATGTCTATATTCATATACATATGAGAATATGATAGTAAATATATGACAACAGTTGTCGATGAATACAAGAAAAAAAAAACAGAAGAAAAAAATATTGACAATGATAGATGTACTTATTCTAAGAAATGAAATAAATGAGTGCTTGTGAGAATAAGAATCTATTTGATACATCTTAAAAAATATATGAACTACATACTCTACCATATCATGTCAAAATTTTTTTAATCATATTTTTTGGACAGAGAGTTTTGATTTCAAC